GGCCAGGTCCCTCTCAGAGCCTCCCTACCCTAAACAGATCAACACCGGCCCCCAACTTCGTGTCACCAGTCGGTCATTAATGTCCATCCAAAAAGGGAGGGGAAAAAATGAAGAACAACAACCTCAAAGGAGTGATTTTGAGTTTTTTATTCTTGCCCTCACTGAATTCTCTGCACACACGATGGAGATGTTCATGAGTCCCCAGCGCAGGATTCACTTTTGGGCATGACCTCTGTCAAGGCGCCGTGACACCACGCGTTACGGTGTTGTAGGAAGAGATTTCACATCTGCTCTATGACGGGGAGGGCCCTCAGTTACTGAATTTCTCGTACACAATGTGCCTGACAGGTCGGATGCCCTGATTGGGTGGGCAGCGGAGCGTTTCTCTCAGGCCTGCTTTCTGCTGTACGAGCAAATGCACCCGGACGACCCCTTCGGACGCGTCATGAGGCGGCATTTTACCCAGCTGAACTCGCCGCTGCGCTCGTTGGCTCAATACCCTGATGGGGAGGCACAGCAGAGGCGCTTTGTTGAGAGGGTGAGTACCTGCAGCTCCGGGGCACACCTGAAGCCAACACATCCCATGCGGTCTCTGCCGCTCCGTCATCTCCAGGGGTAGGGGAGACACGTCCCAGCCTCCTTCTGCTTCCCCGTGGCGCCCTCCCCACGTGAGAAAAGTCCGTAAAAGTCCAAATTTTGGGTCTGCCCACAGCTGCTGTTTCCCTCAAGGACAAAACTGCTTCGGCCCAAGTCCACAAAGATCCAGTCTGGGTCTGCTCATGGTCACAGTTCTCTCACACACAAAACTGCTCCAGCAAACGCTGCCCGGAGTCGCGGCTTCGTCATGGGCAGCCACTGCTCGTGTGGATCTGCCCCACCAGTGAACTCCACGGGTGTTGTGGTTTAGGGCTGGGCGCTAAACCCTGGCCAGACGCTCTCTCTGAACCCCTCTGCCCTCCCCAGAAGGGAAGAGAAAAGAGAAGAAGGGAGAGAGACTTAGAAAACGAACAGGTTTAATGAAACAATAATGCTGATACTGCACGATAATGATGGAAATAGGGAAATAATGGAATATATGTAAAAATAGTGCAAATATTATATATACAACCAATATAAAATCCTCCTCAATGATGATGATGGCACCAGAGGCTCTGGGAGCACTGGACAAGTCCCAGTGTG